ATGAATTGGTGTTCCATGGAAAAGATGGGAGATGTAATTCTCCAAATTATCTGGCTTGAACCTCACCAGGATCTCAGTGTTTCTCTCCTGGCCGAGCATTGGTAAGTACTTCCTGTAAAACTCTCTGTATTCTGGTACAAGTTTGTTCGCTATTGAAACCTTCAGTTCATCCCTAAGTTTTGCATCTGGTACAACTCGTGATGATTGTTTCATATATGCTTCCTCAAATGCCGTGTGAAATCTTCTGAAATATATTTTGGCATCCTCTGGTGATAGGTCTGTGGGTTCTTCTGGTAAAGACATGAAAACATTGGACCATGATGCTATCTCATAATTCCCAGCATAAGCGCTGAGTTTATCAGCATGCATAGAGAGCCAATCATCTCCAAGGAGATCCCTCAGGTGAGTTGACCGAACCGTTTCAATGATGAGGTGAAGGTTGTTAGCAAGGAAAAGGTAAGACAGAGAAACATCCTTGTAATGTTCTGCTTTGGTGTCTAGTTTGCATAGCAAAACCAGGATGAGCCATACAAAGTGGACCGAGAGTGCGTGATTGTGTTGTTCATCTTCCGAAATTGGAGTTCTGGCATAAGATTCTAGCAGGCGGGTGTTTCTAGAGTTTGGATGGTCTGCAAGGATTTCAGACAACACACTGCTGTATTTTGAAAGGGAAGAGATGAAGCTCATTGTTGATCGTGTCAGTTTATGAATCCCTCCTCCAGGTGTAAGGGCTTTCGTTGAATCCTTCTGAATGGTTGACTCAAAGTCTGTGAGCGCACTGTGGATTGAGGCCTTTAGTTTTTGCAGCGACGTGAGAGCCTGAGATTTCACACCAGCTACTGCATCGAAGTGGAATATCATCTCTATGTCCTGCCAGAGATCAGAGATTGCAGCCAGCAGATCCATTAGTGGGAAGATCCTCTCATGGGATTTTTTCTCCTTGGCAACTAATTCAGGGAACTTGAAAAGGTTAGTAGCTGCTTCGTTTGCAATCTCATAATAGCATGACTCTCTTGTTGAATTAGAGGCAGAAAAGACATGATCACAAAGAAGTTTTTCTCCACGGAAGAGCGTGGCAACGCCAATCTTTGCAGCTTTTATCCAGTTCTTGATCATATGCTCCAGCGTGACCCAGTCCATTTTGTGAAATTTGGAGCCTTTGTAGATTTCGATGCCGAGCAAGCTCAGTCCTTCATCTACGATCGATTTTCTGATCCGTTTATAAATCTTTACACACTCTTTACCATATCCACAACTGATCATACTCTCTGCTATCGCCTTTAGGTCTGACATCACCACGGCTGAAGCTTTCTCAACCTTAGTGATCGATTCACCAGCTATCCTTATCTCATTGTCACTGTCATCGTCGTCGTCAGATGCCATAAAATCTTCAAATTCAGAGTTGCTGGAGATTGAGGATTGGCCGGAAACTGATTCGGGATCAAGCTTGTCTCTATTTGAAGATAATATCTGAAAGAACTCTTTTTCAAGCCTCGCCATGGCGACCTGCATCAGGGTCTGTGCAAGAGCAAGCTTTGGAGATTGAGAGTCTTGAGAGACAAGAAAGTGCATCGCCCTGCGCAAATCGCGGACACATATGATGAACTCTTTGGCCTCTCGTCTGCTATGGTTAAACAGAGAGACGATCTTGGTGAAGGAAGGCGTATTCGGGTCCCATTTTCTGATGACAGATTCCGCTTTCTCGAGAGTCTCCTCAATCATAGACTCAGTAAAAGTCTGGTTCAGAGGAGAAGCCGGGAAAGAAGTGAATGAAGAAGGAGAAGAAGGAAAGTGTTTAGGAGATGAGGAAGAGAAGAAAGAAAATCTCGCCATTTTCGCCATTGAAGAAGAAGCGCTCTCTCTATTCTCTTTCTTTTTTTTCCTGAATTGAAAAGGAGGCTATTTCTCAAAATAGTGTTACTTGGCTTTTACTCTTTCTAATTTAACAAGGAAGATGGTATTTAACAATTATATATATAGAGCTAGTGATTGGTCTCGACTCTCAAGTTTGAAACCGATGACGATGTGCTTACATGTGAGACCCAAACCACAAAGAACCATTGACTTTGATGAGGTAAGACCCACACCACAAAGAACCATTGACATTGATGTTTAATATAAGCCTTAGTTTTATTTTATGTACTTATTAGATACAGATTTTTACACATGAGTTTTGCTATACACGACTAGGAGTATTTGACCATTTCAATCCGTCAACTTATAATTTTTCTTCATGTATTTGTTTTTAAATCAGATTTTTCAATAAATTTGACTTTATATATGCATCATTCGCAACATTTTTGTATCTTTCTTGTCCGAAGGCCTCGACGGAAGGAAAAAAATAAAACTAAATAGAAGTTTCAGTAGAAAAGTCCGAATAATGTAGATATATTCAGCGTTCTCGGTCTCTTGTATAAAACGCGTGCCTGCATTTTTTCAATTTTTTTTTGGTTTTTCTGTCTGTCAACGTCAAATCGTATTAACAAATTGTTGTTATCAGAAGGTAATAGACACTTTATCGTATCGTATTATAACATGTTATAGCGTCCTCATATAAACTAACAGCTACACGAATAGTTAAGAGAAAAGTATTACCAAAATATCTAACTATTAGTACAGTTGATGTGTCGTAATCCTGATAGTTTGCGTCTTTGCAAGAGCGAGCTTATAAGAAGAAAAAATACGAAAATACAGTATGTATAACTTATCATCATATATTTATTTATTTTGCTCTAATATATAAGATTTCTTAGACTTTTATTTTTATTCTATTTTTAAAAAAAATTAAAAAAATTATACACTTATTCTATTAATTTCATAATTTTTGACTATTTAAAATTTTTAATATTTTTTCTATTGCTTTTCAGTTTTTGTGTGTTTTAGCCAAAAAAAGTTTAAAATTCTTATACGTATGATGGAACCGAGGAAGTATAGTCTTACAACTAAAAATCCTTTCGTTTGACTAAAAGAAGATCAAAGAAAAGATACGTACCTACTCATTATATATAATTCTTGACTGAAATAAAAGTAAAATAACGATGTATTTCAACTTTTCCAAGTCATTACACAGACACAATGACATTCGCATATTACGATCAAGTTTGCAGGAAGAAGTCAAATGTGCGAGAAGCTATGAATATACATACCCAAGTCACTGGCAAAATTACTAGGCCATAAAGAACAAAATCGAGATTCGCTTACCAAGTCAACTGATCTTACATGATAACTGATAAGTATATTTCAACGGTTCAACCCATTTGGCTTCAAACGACAATGTTGTAGTATATACGTGAGTTGGCTATATCATTATAAGGGGGCATTAACTATAAGCTAGTCTACGTTTTGTTACCACTCTCTCTCTTTTAAAATTATAGTAATGGCTAATGATAATTATTTCACGGATTCGGTTAGACTGGAACCGAACTAATCAATAATTTAGTTATTCTGGTTGTCTTTATCTTTATTTTTTTTATAAGTGGAATCTTCCGTCAACAAAAGCAATGACGACTATTGATTAATGCCATTATTTGATTACAAACGAACTCACAAACTTTTTTATTTTTATTTTAAAACTGACGACTTTATATATAGACTTGTTATGAGGAAAATGAACTATATATATATTAGGATTGGTTATGTTATTATTTGGTTTTCTTACAGATTTTACTAAGGAAGAATGTAACCTTGGGGAGTTATATCGAAGCAAAAATGAATAATATTGTAATGCGCGAAAACAATTTGGTGATTGGATTGAGAAGTGGTCAAACTCAAGCGTAGATCAAAGTATGACAATGCTAATGCCAAAGTCAAAACTCAAAAGCTTATAACTTATCATTGATAACCCCAATTTTTTAAAAAATAATTATAATAACAAGACAAGTTGCTATTTTTGACTTATTTATATAGATAGATTCCCTTGTTACCGAATGGAAGTGCCAATCTTTCTTACCAAATCAACGAATGGGAGTTAAACTTTTTCTACCTTAAGAGGAATGGGACCTGAGATCATGGCTTGCGAGTGTCTTTTATAAAGGTTGGTTGATCAACTTTTGATGCAGACAAGTGACTTCAACTTCGTAGAGTTGTAAAAACCATTGCAAGAAAGTAGTTAGCGGCACGAGCCACCTCTATCAGCCTATCGTTTTGAAGGACCGTTTTATTGGACTGATTGATGATAAGTTAATAACACTCCAAGTCTCCTTAGATAAGTTTCAAATTTCACTTGGAAAGGGCTTTCTATTTTACTCATTGTTCAGTTCCAACGTGTTGACAACGTATTATTATATTATAATCTTCAATTAAATATGTTTACCTAACAATGAAAAATGGTATATATATTAGACTAATTAATGCCATGACACCACTCGTTAGATGATGTAAAATGGAGATTTTTCAGTGTGTTGAAAGTAGCACCATCTAAAAATTTTAAGCGAATAATGAAGCCTTGTACATATATATTGTTCAGAAGATTTACAAGTTGTGATATATATATATATAACCGAAGTGATATTTTTGATGTCGTTAAATACTTGTTTACTTCTCTTTTTATATATAGTTTTATTGAAAAATTAAAAAAATTAATTATTTTAAAACTTCATTTTATTTTATATATAGTTTTAATGATTTATTGAAAATTTACATTTTGACAGCTCTACTAAAAAAATCACATCCACGTGACTTTTTTTTTTCTTTCCATTTTCTTCTTTTCCAAGCTACTTGTCTTGTCAACATTACAAACAAACCAAGTAAAAATCATCTCAAGTAAGATATAAATGCTCGTCTTAATATGTATAACTACCGTTTATGTGGGAATAATGAAAGTAGAGACAAAAATCTGTCAACATGTACATTGTACGTACGACATTTAAAAATCATTTTGATTTCTTTTGCAAATCATTCTGGCTGTACATCATTAATGCTCGTTTATAATTTGCTAACAAAAACGTATGGAATGAGTCACTATAGTTTTTTTTGGAGTTAAAGTTGAAGTAAATAATGTATGTCGGAGAAAACTGATTTGTATATGTGAAATCATACAGTGATATGTTTGAATTGGAAATCATACAATTAAAGAATCAAATCTTTGATTCAAAGATCAATCTCGTATACATTAGAGAAGAGAAGATGACTGAGTAAATTATGTAAACTCTGATTTCATATTAACTAATTGGAAAGTACACTTCTGTCTCCAGCGACGCCAATCCAATGCAAAGAATATTAAGTCATTAGGTAGATATGGACAAAATAAAAATGTCACTAAATTGAAATCGATCACATGAAGTACCTGGTTGCTTGATCCGTCTCCTTCCGATGGCTCTAGTCTTCTTCGGATGGAGAGTCCAGTGGCAACAACTTCTTGTTCTTGTATGCTTCTCTCTAAGAGAAAGACTTTTTGTTTCACACCTGTGCAATTGAATTCTCCACCACTTTGCTTCAACAACACAAAAGACCCTATTCATATACATAAGGACTTTAGAACAGTCAATTTCTGCGTTTCTTGTTACAACTACCAATGAAATTTTGTTCAAGATGGTAAAAATGTGGGTTCATTTAATTAAACACACTCACAAACACAAAACATAGGCGCAAACACAAAATCTAACAATCATAAAATTCACAAGATAGGTAAGGTAACATGAATGGCCACCAGTCACGTGTCAAATTTATAATCTTGTAGAAAGAGGCAGCATAAACAAATTTACATAAGTGAAATTAACAATCAGAAATCCATAGGCCGGGCTAAACCAAAAGCCTTGCAGATAAGGTTTCACTTTTCCACTAACTAGATCATATTAAGAAACAAAGCTACTGAATCCCCAAAGTAAATGTCAAGCAGCTTGAAATATTAAAAACCCATGCAACATCAGCAATAAATCTAATGTTACTGTAAGAGAGAGGTGCGGGAACATACATCTTAGATAGCTTGTTAGGAGCACCACCAGTGACCTTAGGGATGCCGAGGAGAGCAAGCTACGCCGTCAGATCCTCAACTGAGAAGAAAGATTCGGCTTTGACTTCTCCTTCAGTGAGAAGAAAATATGGGTCAAAACCTTCCCATATCTCTCCAGAGAGAACAGTAGCTAGGTCCACCAAAGAATCATCCAGTAACTTTTCATGTAATCTGACAACTACTCGGAACATGTTAGACACCAGAGGGTTCCTCAAAAAGGGTTTCAGTGCACCCCCAAGTTCAATCATATCAGACCACAGAGTTTTCTTGTCATTGCTGTCAGTTGAGAATCTGAATATGCAGTTGGAGAAGACGTAGAGACCGAGGAGATTACCATAGAGTGGCAAAAACACATCCTTGTGGTTCCCGACACCACCTACCCAGCTCTCTCTTTGTTTACTAACATGGTCTTTAGCAAAAGAAAGCAACTGATTGTGAAATTTACTCCTCCAGTCGAGTAGTTGTGCCAGGGAAAACTCATTGTTTGGTAGTTTCTGTAAATGGTAACAGCCAAACTGCAAGATCAGAAGCTTTTCTTCATGGTGATTATCGATTCTTATCAAATACCCGTCTAACTAGATCACCACCTCCCTTTGGTGGGGGTGAGTAATCTGCAGTGTTGAAGACCCATCTCGAGAGATATTGGGAATACTCGTTCCAGTGCCCAAAGACAGAAGATAAATGGTTGAAGCTCAGTTCTAAGACTTTATCTACTTGAGTAGGAACTTCCATAGCAGTGAAGAAACACTTCTGGACATCCGTGGCGAGTTTTGACCTAATGAGATCATCTTCATCCTCCAACAATTTGATGCAAGTGAACCACATATCCAGAATTTGATATGCGTACAAATTGCAAGCGTTTTGAAATTTGCTTGGTGTATTTTTAGAGGGAATTTGGTGATTAAAGACACGAGGACCAACGATCTTGGCTTGTTCCAGTATACCAGATGCTATAATAGCTTCTGCAGATGCATGGCGAACATTCACTTGCTCGGATGATAAGCTTTTCTGTTTAATCAGGTTAACAAAGTAAGAGACACAATCAATTACGCAGCTCCATCTTGATTCCTCTTCCTTTTCAGAATCGTTGTTGTGAAAGAACAAACCCGTGAGATGCTGTACACAAATTGCCAGGCAACACATGAGTGTACCTCGGATTTTAGCACGTCGTGTGCTCTCAAATAGAGAAGTCAGCCTGCCCCAAAGATGAAGCACCAAATCATAGTTCAGCGAACCAACGTAAATGCCTTCAACAGATTCCCCGTTACATGATTTTTTGAACATAAGCAGATTCCACTGGAAAAGAATCTTTAGAATGTAGTTCTCACATTTATGGTTTTTCTCCTTGTCCAAGAGCTTTAATAATACCTCTTGGAGACCGTTTTTCGCCCAGTTCCAAATACTGCTTGACTCTGAGAAACTGGAATCTTCTGACTTCAGAAACTGCAGAAACCACTTCAGTGTTGCAAGACGAACTTCATATGATTGATCAGATAAACTACGAAGGAGCCTTTCGTTAAGGTCAGGAAAATCTGACGCTTCAGGAACTTTCTGCAATTGTAGATTTGGTCTTTGAGTAATCTGGAAAACTTCCGCTGCTTCATCGGATGGTTGAAATATGCAACCAAAATAAGATACAGCTGCTTGTTCTCTAAGCTCAGCGATTGAAGGGTCATAATAGGAGAAACCATAAGAAGCATCTGTATCCAGGCAATTTGTAGACAGATCAAGATGCAATTTGTAGATGTCCCTTAGATTTTGGCTTTCAGAGCTTGTCCATTCAATAACTCGCATATAATTAAGCACTCTCAAAAACGATGTACAGAGGATCGGGCATGGACAAGTCAATGGAGAAGCCATCCACGTGCATTTTGAAAAAACATTGATCAATTTTCCAATAATCTGATCCTTCTTAGAATCATCAGCAAGGTCTCTACAATTTGTATCTAGGAGACTACCAAGTTGCAACAAAATTCCGTGAAGGTAATTGAAGGACCTACCTTGGGCCCCATTAGAAGGTAAAGTTGAGGCAATTTGGAGCAGGACACTTTGGAGTTTCTCATTGGAAACAAGACCAACTAGAGCACGTGATGCCAAAACACGAACACGGAGATTGCTTTGAGTAGAGCATTTCATAATAAAGGGCATGAAAACGAACGGGTCCAGGTCATCTCCAGTTTCACTTGCAATGGGTGAAGGCTTAAGCCTAGATAAAAGAATCAGAATAGGCCATAAACTCGGATGGACAAGATTTGCAGCGTTTGAATCACATGGACCAGATGCGTCAAGCAAATCAGTTGCTGTCTTTAGTTCACTGTATATGAAAGGGTGCAACAAGGGGTACCTTCAAGAAACCCAACATAACATTCAGTAATGGCTGAAAACAATGCATTGTCAAAGGCAAAGACAGCTTTAACCCAAAAAAAAAAAAAAATCAGGGGAGGATCTTATAGACATACCTGTGAAAAAATTCAAGCCCAGTCAAGGCACGACGGGTAGATCCACGTTTTTGAACATTAAGGAATCCAATCATTCGACGGACCAAGGCAGTGTATGCAAGTGTGGCACTGTTTCTGACCTCCCAATATTGTGAAGAGAAGGATCTTATTGAAACAATCATAGCCTCCGCAGCAAACCCAGAAGTATCAGTGCTCAAGTTTGTATCGTTGAAAGCAGCTTTGAGAACATTGAATGCATGCACCGTTGGAACGACTCCTTCTTCACGGACCTTTGAAAGGTTTTCACTTGAATGCATATCAGAAGAATTGACCTCCTCCACCATATGTTTAGAACCTTTCTGTTCCATGGGATCCAAGAGAGGTTTCTCTGCAAGACCTATTAGCCATCTAAGCGCATGTGGGAGAAGCTTCTTTGGTGAACCTTCCGGTTCTGATAGAAAAAGAGCAATAAATGCAGCGGGAATTCCTGCACTTCTTCTTAACACATCGTCCACTGTTTGTCCTCTCGCCACAGTTCTTTCCATAAGTTGCTCCATCCAGGATTCTGTCAACTTACAAAGTCTACGAAAGAAAAGACAAACACAATCTGTCAGTTAATTGAAGAATAAGATACAAGGACACACGGGAAGCTTAAAATCATACCTTGGATCATTAGAACATAGTAAACGGTGGCACAAAGCTGTAAATCCAGCTCTTGTCTTATCTATCGCACCATTGTGCTTCATTTTCAAAAGAACTTCCAAGAAGTGGTCTCCAATCTTTTCAAGTTGATTCAGGTCAAGCAGTAACTCAGAATTTCCTATCACTGAATCACTGGGGACTGCAGAAGCTGTATTACCATTTTCTAACGGTCTAAGGCTACTGGTAGGTAATGGAATCTTTCTTATGATGGTTCCCAAAAGAAGACTCACCTGAAGAAAGAAAATAGTTTATTATTAGGATGTTACTCAAAAAACTTGTAAAATGCAGTATTCTCCATTTTAGGATGAATAGCTCTGCTAGCGAAAAAAGTATTAAGAAAAATGAAAACAGAAAAAAGTGATGCCAAAGTAAGGACAATGATCAGAATGATGAATTAATACCTCCTTCATAGCGAGCCAGCAACCAACCATAACTACTTGTTCTGATTGTATTGTTTCATGCACATGTTTTGGATAAGTACTCTTGTGTTCCTCTGAGAGAACAGCGGCAGCATCATCTTGTACATTTGACAAAAAACTATCATCTTCTATTATGTCATCCATATCCTCAGGCAAACACAAAGCATCTGCAGAAACCACCCAAAGTGCTAATGTAGTTATTCGAGTTACCAGTTTAAGAAGCTTTTCCAGTTCCTTTCTCATCTCTGATATACTTAGCACTGCGTTAGAGTTCCAGTCCAGTTCCTCAAAAGTATAACGCAAAGCTAGTAATACCCCATGAACAAAACTGTTCTTACATGCTTCAGAGAGATCACGCTCTCCCTCCATCACAGAATCATCAAGCCAGTGAATAAGTGATTTGATATACTCAATCACAGGATACTTGACTTTGGAGTTCTGATAAAGACCATTTCTGCTTTCACACTCTCTTGGACCACAAAAAACACTAGTTGAAACCTTGACTATCCATCCAAGGTCCAATACGTACTTTCTAAAGATGAGCCTTAGAGTCAAAGCACCTGCATCACTCTCTCTAACCCGTGGACTGCAGACTAGATGTTTGGCCCAAGGAATAATGTTTTGGACCATGTCTTCACTTGAAATGCCAGTAAATGGAGTTGGATAATGAAGCAAAATACGGAAAGAATTTTCCCTAAGCCTGTCCCAACTATCAACAATCGATCCAACCAACAATAACGTCGAATTATGTGAAGTGACTATATCACAATATGGGTATAAATGACCTTGATGAGAAGCGGGATCCTTAGAAGCCACTACAGGCCAGACATCGATCATGATCTGTATAAGCTCTGTAGCCATTATTTTTCTCCTGTATGGGGCAGAAGGGTAGCAAGATAAAAACAAAAAGGAACTCAACCACCTCATAAACTTGGACAAACTCTCTGCTCGTAGAACTGCATTATCGTCGCTTTTAAGTGGTTGCCAGCTACCTTGCTTATACTGCTTTTCCAGAGACGTACGGACCCGGGAAAAAAATTTCCTGAACAAACTGGTCCACTTCATTTGAAAACCTGTAGAAGATGACCTCATGTTCAAGGGAACAGCCTCCTTCATGAGATAAAGCTCCAAGGGGGATGGAAGTCTAGCAGTCTTGGGGTTTAAAAAGAGTGTCTCTGCAGCATCCACACGAACAGACTCATCAACATGGGTTAAGGCCATTTTCAGCCACTCAATGGGCACTTTCAACTCAACACCCTTAATTTGAACAATTGCAAATGTATCAGTACTTCTTTTTTGTTCAATATCCCCTTCAAGGAATGCAAGTGTGCGACAAACTTTCAGCAATGATACTAAAACAACCACCTTCTGTTCGACGGTCAGTTCCATACTCATGTTACTCAACTCAGTATAGTTTAGCTTGGTCTCTTCCTCACTAGGCCCAATAGATATATACGCAAGCAAAAGAAATATACTGTCTACGTCCAGTTCTAGCAAAACTTGTACGGCATAAGTATTTAGATTGGACCTCAGTTTCGACATGCCAGAAGCAAGCCCGTAAAGGAAAGGAGGCAAACAATGTTCTCGATAACGTGCATAACCCTGGTCAACACCTTCGCTCCCCCAGCTTTCATCACGCAACATTTCAAGGAAACATTTTAAAAATGATGTTACAGCATAACAGACATCATCATCAACATATGCATTTGCCATCTCGAACAATAGGTTAGGGCTCATATCCATCAAAGTCTTAGCACCTAACCGTCTTGTCAGTGATGCTAATGGAACGTACCGTCCCTTACAGCGTGATCCTAAACGAAGAAGATAGTTGACAATTTTAAGCAAAGATCCCCTTATTCCCACTTTATCATCTGTCTGGTGAACTGTGGTTTGAATGTCTAGTAAGAGGTCAAACATGAGATGGACTTGTTTGACTGTCTGGCTCAAAGGGTCCTCCAAGTTGTTCCATATAGTTCTGAGTATTCGAGCTGTCATGCTGTCCGGCATAGGATCATAATCTTCTGATAAATCAGTTAACATAGATGTCTTGATTTGTTGCAAGCAAATCTGCATCACAGTTAGCGCGTGAAAATTTAAATGGCTGTCAATGGGGTTCTCGCATAAATCACAAAGTTCAAGCAAAATTCCATCATACAGAATAGTTTTGTGATCACAATCACTGTTACTCAACCGACCAAAAGATGAAACAAGTATACCCCTAGAAACTGTAGTAAGAATGCCTCGGATCAAGCAGAGTCTACTCAAAGATGAAAAACTGCAAATCTCAGAACAAATGTCCCCAGCAAATGGAATTTTGCTAACAATATCAGTCAATGTAACGACACTACTCCAGCAAAATATACCTTGCGCTATAAACAATCCAAGCTCTTCGTCTTTAAGACAGACCTGTAGAGCAGCGCAGAAACTCACACCAGCAGCCACATAACAGTCCCTAGAAAACGCTGACGACTTCAAAATGCTTAGTTGAACAGCCAAAACACTCTCCATAAAATTTGCATCCTCCCCAATTAAACCCTTAAACTTCAAAGGAAACCGCTGAAACAAGTAATACGAGCAAGACAAAGCCTCTTGGCATTGCTCCATAACAGTGGGAGGAGGCCTATCACAAGCTTCACTGTCTAAGATTATACCATTCAACCCTGAAACGATATCATGACCCACCAAAAGCGCGCAATCTTCAATTATATCAACCAAATATCCCAACTTTGGCATACCCATCACTGACAAAGCAACTCTAGACACACAGAATCGATTCCCACCATCTTCCAAACCGCCATATTCATCACAAAGCTCCTTAAAACATGAACTAATCACTGAATGAAACTTACTAGTCTTAGCCAAGGCTGAAACAAGGGTCTTATGTAGAGGCAAAGAATTCTCCATGAACAGAATCTCCAAGTAAAACCGAATAGCTTCCCGTACAGAAACTGCCTCTCTCTCGCCTCCTTCATTCTCATGGTTCTTGGCGAGTACCTCTCCGAATGAAGCAACAATCTTCTTGGCGTGATTAACTTGCGCGTAGATTGAATTCAACGAAACCAATTCTTCAATGTTGGAGTAAAACTTGGGGCAAGACTGAAACAAACTAGATTGGCTCAAAGAAGCAGCGAACGAGCTTGGGAACAAGACAGCACTGTAAGTGTAACGATGACGATGCTGCAGAGCTCGCCACTTTGCAGACATGTTTCAGTGAGCTAAGGAAAAACAGATAAAACGATAAAAATAAAAATTTTGTTTTTCCAACTAAAAGTAGAAATCAGAAAACATGGTATAACGAAGTAGAGATCATACCGGAAAAGCGGCTAAGCGTACGAGAAAGCTTATCAGGAGCCCGGAGCAGTATCAGGTGACTGACCTAAGACGCGGCGGAGGCGACCACCTTCAAATCTTTCAACTGAAAATAAATGGGCCTCACTTAAGTGTTAATGGGCTTAATTATTCAATTGATAAAATATTTTACTGCTGAAGTAGTTAATTTGTTGTGGTAACAATATTTTCATATTCGAATTCATCACGTCTAGTTTACAACTCGATTTAGCTGTGATCACCGGCTTCCGACAAAATGAGTTCTCGAAGCCAAGTTTTCAGTTGACTGAGGTGTATGATTTAGTGTTGATACCATTTGCAATTGCAAAGCTCCGGAACACATTTCACTAGTCATATATCTCCACAAAAATTTGGTTTTCACTTTTCAGGACGAGGAAACAGAGGATATAATCGGGATGCCAATTCAAAGATGACTATGCTGTCTTACAGCACGCTCATCATAAATATTTACAGGTCTTGTTTTATAACTGAAGTAAAGTTTGTTCTCCAGGCTTTTGTTCGTAAACCTAACGTTTAAACCGATTTTATTGTGAGGAGTACTCTCTATCGCTTATGTGTTCCTTTTAAAGTTCTCTCAATATAAGCTTGCATGGTTTAAAAAACAAAAGAGTTTAAAAAAAAAAACAAGTAGATCACCCCAGGAGGTAATTCTTAAAATTCGAAGAGGGTTTGAATCATATTTGAAATGTAAGAGATCATAGTATCATACAATGATATGTTTGAAGAATCAAAACTGTAATTCGAAGATGATTCAGATAGATCAGGGAAGACGACGATATTAAACCTTGATGGCATACTTTCTAATTGGAAAGTACATTTCTTTCTTCTTCTCTCGTTCTGTCTTCAGTGACGCCTATAAAATCCAGAAAATAAGTCATTAAGTACGGACCAAAACAAAAATGAATGATAGAGAGAATCCATGGCTTCAAATACCTGGTGCTTAGTTAGTCTCCTTCTGATGGCTCTAGTCTTCTTGGGACGGAGATCCAAGGGTAACAACTTCTTGTTCTTGTATGCTTCTCTAAGTGCAGACTTTTGTTTCTGTGAGGCCACAGTCAACACTTGCGCAATGGACTTCCTCACCACTTTGCTGCAAAATCCCCCCCCCCCCAAAAAAATGACACCATTCAGATCCTTAATAACTTGAGAAATGATGGCTAAAATAATCTAAACCAACAAGGTTCTTGCTTGATCAGAGATTCAACAGACTAAATAATTATCTTTCTTTACCCATTCGAGGGAACTGTCTGATACGACAGGCAAAATACAAGGTATCTTGCAGAGAGACCGGATAACTACAAATACAACACACTGACACAAGCCGAAGACTAACCTAAACATTGATTGTTCTAAATACCATGTTCAGCGTCTGAGTACACAATCAACAAAGAAAACTTGTTTAAGATGTTAAAGATTCTGGATACACTAAACATAAAACCAAACACAAACAGATGCCTAACTACTAAAATCCGCAATTCCATAAGTTATGTGCTATATGCATACACATCGATCACATGAATGTACCAAATGCCTAATCTTGTAAACATTGATTGGCACCATAAGCAATTCAATAGAAATGCAACTAACAATTATAAATCTACAATCTACTTTCCCCACTAAGCTAGATCATACACATAAACAGGCTAATGAATCCAAGTTCAAGAAACTTAAAATGTTCAAGTCAATCCTCAGTATCCAAAAATGCAACACGATCAAAGAAATCTACAAAATGCAACAATGGGTGGGAGAAGAGAACAGTTATTACATCTTAGAGAGCTTGTTAGGAGCACCACCAGTGACCTTAGCGACACGGAGAAGAGCAAGCTCCGCCTTCAGATCTTTCAATTGAGTAGAAAGATCCGTTTTTGATTTCTCCCTCAACTCATGAACCTTGATTCTCGCTGTTCACAACCCATTTCACATAACCCATTAAGAAAATTATCACAGGAGACAAACAGAAGAAACACGAAATGATCTACGAGTCTTACCCATGGCGTCTTCGAGCTCTCTCACTCACAGTCCCTTGTGTGGTGCAATAGAGTGAGTGACCAGAAGAAACCCTAAATTGGAGAAGGAAGAAGATTGTTAATGGGCCTGAATAACATAAATGGGCCGTAAGTTTAGTACAGAGAATGGTAATTTCATCATTTCGGACGTCCAATATGCTATTATTTAATAAGTTAATTGACACTATCTACAAACGCATTAAGCGGCTTCTCGTTAAAATCTCAAATCTGATTTGGGTCAATTAAAGAAATCTCTTATCTCTCTCGTATCGTGCGTCTCTTCGTCTATATATATTGAAAACAAAATCCAGTTTTCTTCTTTCTTAAAAGTTAAAAACAAAAACAGAACTAACCACCATGTACAAAGAGGTATGTCTTAAGCTCTCTTCTCTATTCAATTATGAATTTTTCATGCACAACCAACAGACCTAAGAATCTTCATATATGTGAATCGTGATGTTTCTTTTGTTAGGATTATGTATTGAACTCACGAGGGATACAACTTTTCACGTGTTCATGGAAACCAGAGGAGCAGCAAGAACCAAAGGCTTTAATCTTTCTCTGTCATGGCTACGCCATGGAATCAAGCATCACCATGAACAGTTCCGTCTCTTTAAAAATTATGATGATTCATCGTCAATGTACACATATTCATAGCACAACTAATATTTATCATCAATGTTAAATTCAATCATATTTATCAGGCACTGCAATGAGGTTGGCCAAGGCAGGATTCGCCGTCTACGGTATGGACTATGAAGGGCATGGTAAATCCGGGGGATTAAATGGTTACGTCAGAAAGTTTGATGATCTTGTTCTTGACGTCTCTTCTCATTACTCTTCAATTTGCGGTAATCATTCATTACAATACCCAAAAAAAAAAAAAAATTGTTTTACTTTTGCATATGCCACTATTTTTGAATCTTTTCTTCTTCTAAAAATACCATAAAAGATAAGTTTGGCATAGTATTCCTTCCGTAAAATTGAACAATGTTATAGACCTAACCATTTGGGAAAAATGTTATATCTAAAGTATTTTGGAAATGGTGAATGTGAAGAGAGGGAAGAGAGTAAGGGGAAGATGAGGTTTCTAATGGGAGAATCAATGGGAGGAGCAGTCGTGTTACTGCTAGCGAGAAAGAAGCCTGGTTTTTGGGACGGTGCTGTTTTGGTCGCCCCCATGTGTAAGGTATGTAACTATTGTATGATCCGATTCCGAGATCACGTACGTATTAATCTTCATTTTTTAAGTTAGCCCTTAGTTAGTATATTATATCCTTACTATCAAAGTGTTGACTTTTAAACTTTAAGATATATATATTGAGTTGTTCTTTTTCATATATAATAGAATGTCTATTTCAATATTTTAGTTAGATACAAATCTCTTGATTTTGTTATTCTTTTTGCATACAGTTGGCAGAAGACATAAAGCCACATCCTATGGTGATCTCATTTCTCACAAAGCTAACTCGGTTTATTCCAACTTGGAAGATAGTTCCTAACAACGATATTATTGATGTGGCTTTTAAAGAATCCCACATTCGAAAACAGGTAGCATATATATCTTAATTTCTACTAGATATAGCTTTATACGTTTTCGTTACTTTTAGAAAATGAAATTTTATTCTAAAGGTAAGGGAAAACGAGTATTGCTACAAGGGCCGACCTCGCTTGAAAACCGCTCACCAACTCTTAATGGTTAGCTTGGATCTTGAAAAGAATCTTCATCAGGTTTCTCATCTTTTTTACCGATCTCCTTTGATATCTCGAAGATTTTATTTTATTTTGTGACCAAAACTGTGGATAATTAGACATTAATAAACAGGTATCAATGCCGTTTATTGTCCTTCACGGTGAAGATGATAAAGTTACGGACAAAAATGTAAGCAAGCTACTATACGAGGTGGCTTCGAGTTCGGACAAGACTTTCAAGTTATACCCGAACATGTGGCATGGGCTTTTATACGGGGAACCTCCTGAGAATTTGGAGATTGTGTTTGCTGATATCATAAGCTGGTTAAACGAGAGAGCTTCTGTCCCAAACCAAAGGTCGGAGGCTGAGTTAAAGCATATGAATGATGGCTTTTCTATGCATAAATAATAAAGTGTTGTACAACGTTGAGTTAGTATGAGAATGTTGTTACTTATGTACACTAACTAGTGCAAACCATGATAGACTTTTTAAAACCGTTCTCTGTTATAAAATCATTCAAATTAATGAAATAAAAGTCTTCAATTTGAAAACCATTTTGGACCCCAAAAAACAAGGTTGTGCAATTTATTATTCATATATGTGATGTTTCTGTATTTATTTATTTTCTCTTAATGCTAATCTGTATGATCCATTTATATAATCATTTGCACAGTGCATTGGATGTTAACAAATTAGAGACGACTAATATGGTGAGTGCCGTTAAGGTTCATAAAAAAATGTCATAAATTTTCAAATCATGGCTTGAATAGTATATTTGAGTTCTAAAGTCATATTACAACCTGATTGAACCTAAGTATTATGATTCAAAGCCTCCATTTTTTATAAGAAGTAACAATACATATACAAAGACTCAAATTCATGTTTGAAGATTTAACTTCTCAAGACCAGTAATTAAGAAAAGATCGCTTCTCTAATACTCAAAGTGATTCCCCATATCTATGTGTGAGTGTGATCCAATACAAATTCCTATTTAAGAATAATATCTCATAATTATTTAAGTTTGACTTGGATAGAAACACATGGAATCTTTTAATGAAACTCCTCAGTTCAAATTCTAGATCCCAAAATATATATTGTGGATAGTTAAAGTTCATAAAGAGTTTCTAAATCAGTTATGACCTCATACTAACTTTTAGGGAAGCTTTGGCAAACCTCTAAATTTGCTTGAGGCATTTTCTGAAATCTTTTAAAAGTTGTGATACTTTTGGAAAACTAAACATGAAATATAATATTTATGTGACTTACCATTTTATGTTTGCGTTTGGTGTTGTTAGTATATGTATGCGTTTACCAACTTCAAACTGCATCTGGTTTTTAATTAAAACAGTATAAAACAATCGATAACTTGCTTTCTTCTATTTAAGCTCACCACCGAACCATTACAACGTTCTTCAAGTATGATGAAATGGAAATGTCAAAACAGTTTGTAGCTTCACATAACACTGAAGACGTACGTACTAGTGAAAGAAATCTATAAGTGAGAGAAATTAGAAGAAGGAAAAGTAACCAACCTTCTTGTTAGTATATATTTAATTAGGCATAATTATTATGAAGTTACAACTTCACTAAATGACGTTATGGAAAAAAACAAGAAAAAAAGTCATCCCGTTATTAGTGCTTCACTTTTGATGTTATGAAATTGCTAAATTTAGGCCACCCCTAAAATTTTAGTGATAGGTCTCGCAAGCGACGAAAAAGGACAATTCTATTGTCTGATTCAACCCTTTTCAAACATTCCTTCTTCCACAAGACACAACAAACCTAAGCCATATATTCTGTGTTATGTTTTAGTCGCTACTCTCACATTACATTTTCTAGGATCAAACATGGTTAGTTTTGTTCTTATAATTCTCTGGCTTTATTAAATTATATATATGAGACTTTGACTTTCGTAATTTATGTATAGGCTCATATTGATGGACAAGTCGGATATAGCGAGGTAAATTTCCATTACTCAGGTTGCAAGATTCATGTGTTTTCATTATCCATGAAAATGATCACAAGTCGATGATTAGTTAAATGATTCAGGAATTCATCGAGAATTCACGGGGAATGCAACTCTTAACATGCAAGTGGTTTCCAGTGAATCAAGAACCAAGAGCTCTCATCTTCTTTTGCCATGGCTATGCAATTGATTGCAGCACCACCTTTAAAGGTATCTGTGTTACATCATCCATTTGAAGAAGGAGGTAAAGAGAGGTGAATTAATATGAATGATTCTTTGCATGCAGATATTGCACCTAGCTTTGTAAAAGAAGGTTTTGCTGTGTATGGAATTGAATATGAAGGACATGGAAGATCAGGCGGCCTCTCTGTCTACATTGATAACTTCGATCTTCTCATCGATGATGTCTCTTCACATTTCTCCAAAATATCTGGTCCATCTCTTCTTTCTTGACCTCATTAGACATTAACCTTGTTGAATTTATCATAATGTTAGACATAAACCTAGCTAGCTAGACTGTTTTCAAAATCAATTTTCTCCGTTTACATTTCTTACATGAGAAAAAAATATAAAACATGTACAGTTTACTTTTGCAAACAAAAATATTAACCTAAATAAGTTGATGTTTTCAGTTTAAAAAGATACACTAAACGTAAATGCGAACACAAATTATATGGAGTTTTTTTTTTCTTTCTAATTAAAATCAAATTATATAGAGTTTTATCGCAAAACTTAAGAAAATAATTGAGATCCTGATTTTCTATAAATTCAAAAAGAATTCAAAACAAATTACAGTAAAACCTCTATAAATTAATAATGTTGGGACCATGAAAATCTATTAATTTATAAAGGTATTAATTTATCGATAAATTAATAATTATTAATTTATAGAGAGATTTTCCTAATTTGAAAGTTTTTTTCAAAAAAATATTTAAAAATGAGATTTAATCATGATAATTAGTATTTTATATAATCAATTACAAAGAAAATAATAATTATTATGTCTTGAAAAAGAATGCTAACAATTTTTGATATAGTAAAATATTAGAAATAAAGTCTAACAAAAACTAATGTGTCTATATATACATATATTTTGAAAATTTTACCTACTTATTAATTTATAATATTATTGGGACCATATATTTACAAAGGATTTTCAAAAAAATTATTATCTTATTAATTTATCGAAATATGTCTAAAATTACACTGGTCCCAACTTGGGACCGGAGAAATTTATTAATTTATAGAGATTATTAATTTATCGAGTATTAATTTATAGAGGTTTTACTGTATTTGTAAAGCATTGTCTCCTACAAATTCACTAGTTATCCGCGATACTAAACATAGTGACTTGGATTTTGTTTGTGGTGCGAGGCAGAGATGGGAGATAACACAAAGAAGAAGAAGTTTTTGATGGGAGAATCGATGGGAGGAGCCGTAGTTCTTCTCTTGCACCGCAAGAAACCCGAGTTTTGGGATGGAGGTATCCTTATTGCTCCCATGTGTAAGGTGAACACCTATATTCACAAACATCATTTCATTTCATCTATATGTATAATTACTAATTTGATGAGAGAGTCAGATTGCTGAGGAGATGAAACCATCAAGAATGGTTATATCTATGATTAATATGGTCACAAATCTGATCCCATCATGGAAATCGATAGTTCCAGGACCCGACATCATCAATAACGCTTTTAAACTGCCTGAAAAGAGACAAGAGGTACTACTTTTTTATACTCTGTCTTCTTTATATACATTATCCACATAATACGGTTTTGTCTCTTGGTAACCAATAAAATTGTGGACGTAAATCCTAGTCGTTATATATCCACACTAATAACCCTTTAAACACACAGATAATAGCGAATCCAAATTGCTACAGTGGCAGACCTCGTATGAAGACAATGAGCGAGCTTTATAGAGTCAGTCTCGATCTAGAGAATCGGTTGAACGAGGTAATACAACATCCTTTATATATGGCTTTTTCCAAACACTAATCTATATTTTTGTGTACGTAACTAAAATCTACATAGTAATGTAAAATAGTAATTTGGGGTATATATATAAATGTGCATGTGTGAGATAGGTGACAATGCCGTTCATAGTCTTGCATGGAGAAGATGACAAAGTGACGGATAAAGGAGTGAGCAAACTGCTCTATGAGGTAGCTTCCTCTAATGACAAGACCCTGAAGTTGTATCCAGATATGTGGCATAGCCTTCTTTTCGGGGAGCCTCCAGAGAATGCTGAGATTGTCTTCAATGACATCATCCAATGGATGCAGACAAGAATCACTACTCTTAATGTCAAGGCTAATAATAATGAAGCAAAACCTCAAATCTGATTAACTCACACTCGGTCCTAGTGCGCAACTTCATTTTTTAAGGCTTGAATAAATTAAGAATATAATTAGTGATTTTTATCAAACATGATTTTGTAATAGTCTGTTTAAAACCATGTTATACTAGTACAGTTTAACTAACATTAAGAATCCAAAGTACTTCATGTAAAATGATTGCTTTTAAATTTTTAACAACCCTGATTTCTTTTTAGTAAATACTACTAGATTTTAACCCGCGGTACACCGCGGGACGATATTTCTAAAATGTATTTTTTATTAAATTTTTTGGTATATAAGAGTGTACAACTATATTTGATTGTTAATTCTATGATTTAACCCGTATAATTTATTCTTTATATAATCGTAATTTGATCAAATTAATTAAATAAGTATAATATTTAAAATAATGAAATGATATTGACATAATATTCGTTTAATATTCGTTTACATAGTATAATTTCATATTAAAATATTTTATGATTTATACTAAAGTAGACCACCCGTAAAAATATCTATAATCATAATTATGTAAATTGTAACTCGTTCCATCACATAATCCGTGTTACACAATTATCAATAATACTTTAGTACATCCATTTTTATATCGTTTGAGTAATATACATCCGTTTCTAAAAATTCAAATTGCAACATATTCAAAAAAACAATTATATTTTTATTATATATTTGTTTATGTAATAATATAAATTTAAAAACAAATAAGATCATATAAAAATGTTGGAGAAATATTTGATTTATTAGGGAGAGATTTTAGGAAATTTATTAAATGTAATAAATATTGATTTCTAGTTTTGCAATTTTATTATGATTTAATTATAAAATTTATCTTAAACTTTTTATATTTAATCAAATGGCAAGGGATTAATTATGAAAATATCACAAAATTAAAGGGTAAAACACAAAATGTACTTCAAAAATGTTAATATAGATATAGATGCGGGAAAACAAAAAAAAAGTAAATACTATATGGGCTTACACATTGGGCCGGTTTTGTTCCAGAATATAGGCCCATGATTGGATCTTCGTCGTTAGAACACCACACTCCGAGCTTCCAGCTATGGCGGTAATACTTAGGGTTTATTCATCGGTCTCTTTCATCATAATCTTTACAAATCCAAACTTGATAATGCTCTAAGACTTCACCTGAACTCGCAAGGCCAGTGAAAATACTAAGTGCAAGTCTAAACTCTAGCCGTTACTGGTGGTTGTAGGCTTGTTCGTTTGAGAGATGTATCTGTACAGTCTAACTCTGCAGCAGGCGACGGGAATCATCTGCGCGATCAACGGGAACTTCTCCGGTGGGAAGACACAGGAGATTGCGGTAGCTCGTGGCAAGATTCTGGACCTTCTCCGTCCGGACGAGAACGGTAAGATCCAAACGATACACTCTGTGGAAGTATTTGGTGCAATTAGATCCTTAGCTCAGTTTAGGTTGACTGGTGCGCACAAGGATTATATAGTGGTTGGCTCAGATTCGGGTAGGATAGTTATACTCGAGTACAACAAGGAGAAGAATGTGTTCGATAAAGTTCATCAGGAGACTTTTGGCAAGTCGGGCTGCAGAAGAATTGTGCCAGGCCAGTACTTGGCTGTCGATCCCAAAGGGAGAGCTGTTATGATTGGAGCTTGTGAGAAGCAGAAATTGGTTTACGTTTTGAACAGAGATACTACTGCTAGGTTAACCATTTCTTCTCCCTTGGAAGCTCACAAGTCTCATACCATTTGCTATTCTGTCTGCGGTGTCGACTGTGGCTTCGATAACCCCATTTTTGCAGCCATTGAGCTTGATTACTCCGAGGCAGATCAGGATCCCACTGGCCAAGCCGCAAGTGAGGCTCAGAAGCATCTGACTTTCTATGAGCTCGATTTGGGGCTCAACCATGTCTCTAGAAAGTGGTCAGAACCAGTTGACAATGGTGCTAATATGCTTGTTACTGTTCCTGGAGGAGCTGATGGCCCAAGTGGAGTTTTGGTTTGCGCTGAGAATTTTGTTATTTACAAGAATCAGGGTCATCCAGACGTGAGATCCGTGATTCCTAGACGAGCTGATTTGCCTGCTGAACGAGGAGTTTTGGTAGTTTCTGCCGCCGTGCACAAGCAAAAGACAATGTTCTTCTTTTTAATTCAGACCGAGTATGGCGACATTTTCAAGGTTACTCTGGATCACAATGGCGATAATGTCTCCGAATTGAAGATCAAGTATTTTGATACAATTCCAGTTGCTGCATCCATTTGCGTTTTGAAGCTGGGATTTCTTTTCTCTGCCTCAGAATTTGGAAACCATGGTCTGTATCAGTTTCAGGCCATAGGAGAGGAACCTGACGTAGAGTCTTCATCCTCTAATCTGATGGAGACTGAAGAAGGTTTTCAGCCTGTCTTTTTTCAACCTAGAAAACTTAAGAACCTTGTTAGGATTGACCAAGTCGAGAGTCTGATGCCACTCATGGACATGAAAGTCCTAAACCTTTTTGAGGAAGAAACCCCTCAGATCTTTTCACTTTGTGGGCGCGGTCCGCGCTCCTCTCTAAGGATACTGAGACCTGGATTGGCCATCACTGAGATGGCTGTCTCTCAGCTTCCAGGTCAGCCAAGTGCTGTGTGGACAGTGAAGAAGAATGTGAGCGATGAGTTTGATGCATATATCGTTGTCTCTTTTACCAATGCCACTCTTGTTCTTTCGATTGGTGAAACAGTTGAAGAAGTTAACGACAGTGGGTTTCTTGATACTACCCCATCCCTGGCTGTCTCTCTGATCGGCGATGATGCTCTCATGCAAGTCCATCCCAATGGTATCCGCCACATAAGGGAAGATGGACGTATTAACGAATGGAGAACTCCTGGCAAGAGGTCAATTGTTAAAGTTGGGTATAATCGGCTTCAAGTGGTCATTGCATTGAGTGGGGGAGAGCTTATATACTTTGAGGCAGATATGTCGGGTCAGCTGATGGAGGTGGATAAACATGAAATGTCTGGTGATGTGGCTTGCCTGGACATAGCGCCTGTTCCTGAAGGAAGACAAAGATCTCGCTTTCTTGCCGTGGGATCCTATGATAATACTGTGCGCATTCTGTCTCTGGATCCTGACGACTGTCTGCAGATTCTCAGCGTGCAAAGTGTCTCTTCAGCTCCGGAGTCTCTGCTATTCCTCGAAGTTCAGGCATCGATTGGTGGAGAGGATGGTGCTGATCACCCGGCAAATCTCTTCCTTAATTCTGGTCTGCAGAATGGTGTTCTTTTCAGAACGGTGGTGGATATGGT